GCTTATTTTCATGAAGGATTCATCATATACTTTGGAAGCTTCTTCTCATGAAGGGCATATCAAACTCTTGGGATGCTTCTACATAAGAAGGGTGCATCAAACACTTAAGATGCTTATGTTCACAAAGAATTCATTGGGTGCTTGAGATGTTTTTGCCCGTGAAAGGCATATTGGATGCTTGAAATTCTTTAGCTTGTGAATGGTGCATCAGACACTTGGGATACTTATGTTCATGAAGGATACATCAAATACTTCATATTCTTCTTCCCATAAAGGGTGTATCAAGTTCTTGGGATGCTTATGTTCATGAAGAATGCATCTAGCGCTTAAGATGCTTCTACCTATAATTGGTGCATCGGGCGCTTAGGATGTTTTTGCTTGTGAAGGGTGCATCAAGTACTTTATATTCTTATGTATACGAAGGATGCATCTGGTGCTTCAAATGTTTTTACCCGTGAAGGGCACATTGAGTGCTTTATATGCTTCTGCCAATGATGGGCATATCAGATGCTTTAGATACTTATGTCTACAAAAGATGCATTAAGTGCTTGATATGCTTATGCCTATGAAAGATACATCAAATACATTAGATATTTATGCCTACAAAGGATGTATTGAACACTTGGGTTACTTCTATTTGTTGATAAATGAGTCTAGTATGATGAATCACCTACCAATTTTTACCCTTAGTCTCACTTCTCCTTACTCCCACACTGATTGAGTCGAAGAAGTGAGGATGGTGGCAAAGACATCAATGACAATCTTGAAACTTCACTGAAGACATCACCCTAGTGGAAGGAAGTTAGAGACATTGGAAACAAAGCTAAGTAGCCTTATAAGATATAAATTCTACACTTGAAACAATAATGTATTTTATCTTAAAGAGAAAATTCAGTCAATAAGCCCTTTGACATGTAACAAGTAACATATGACAATAAAGCTAGGGGTAAAACTTTTTGAGATACTCTTACCTTATAAGTTCCTCAATCCATTCTTTGTGTCATGCACTCCTTGGTATCAAACTGATAGTCTTTGTAAAATCTATATACTTGCTTTTATCTCACCTTATTAACGATGATCACATTAGTTGAAGGTTCTTAAGCACTACTTTCTTTAAGGAAAATTTTCGTTCCTAAAGCGTTTAGGGGATTGAAGTCTCTCCTCACTCATGAGCGTCCTTCCCTAGCAGGCTTGAACAATTACTTAGTTGTGATGTTTCTTTATCTCTTGGTGTTTTCACCTTTTATCCTTCTTTATGCATGAGTTAAGAGCTTTAACAATTATGTATTGGTTCACTTATAATATATTAGAAAAGGTGACTATGGTTTTTTCGGTGATTAACCATATGAATCGAACCAAGAGGATTATAGGCCTTATATGAAGGTTTAAACAATGATTGATGGGTGCGTATTAGTCACCTAACTTATCTTAATATTAAACCTTAAGACATAATTAGCCAAATGTTCCTCCTAGACTTAGTGGATTACCATGAGTGGTCATGATTTGCTTTGGTTATAAATAAAATATAACCTAAATTATTGTGCAGACTGGCTGAATGTGTATCTAGATGCATAAGTGAGACGAGAGAATCATTCTTAAGCTACTCTCCAAAGTGTGGTTGGGAATAACCGATACATTAGGTTATCCAATTAGCATAAATGATCATTTATGTTTGAAACGTCACAATGTGTTGCTTAGGATCAATGTTGCCATCAAATATCTCTAAGGTAAATAGTCGAAACCCTTTAGGAATTAGCTCTTATTAGGTTTACTCAATGAAGGGAGAATGACCATATAGATTTTTTATATCCCCTTCCTTTGCAAGTTAAAACCCCTAACACATTTTATAATATTAGTTCATCTCTTAGAGTCGTAGGCTAAACCATCGACTTCATTTAGAGGGGATGGTGAGGTGACCAGATTAGCAAGTAACAATATTGATTGGGGATATTCAACTATGACTAGATCTATATCTAGTTGTAGGATTGTGGAGTCTCTTAGTTTTATATAGGTGGTTGTAGTACTACTTGATTATGGACAAATATAAACTGTAGAAACTATGGAATGAATGGGATGATGGATTATATAATCGTTAAGAGAGTATAGACTTGTTGGAATAGCCTCGGGAAGGCTTCCATTGACACTACTATGGGTGGAGGATTACCCATTTGTGAGGGAAAGCTTGAGTGCTAGAAAAGTTGCAGGAGTAGTTTGTTGAGGTCTTAAAATGATAATAAAGAAAAACGTTGGTTGGGCTAATCCCAAACCCATTAAGGTGGGGAAATTGTTGTTTGGTGGTTCCTCCTCGAGACATTCTTAGAGCTTTTCGGTAAGATCGTTGTTTTGCACCATATTAGCCCTCCTTCTGATGCCAAATTTAATAACCTCAAAGTCGATCACTTGATGCGATACTAGGAGTGCAACTTGACTAGGTTTGGACCCGAGATAGAAGCAAGATGATTTGCACTAAGATATTGAGTAGTTAAGATGGCTCAGTTGATGGAAATCCAAGTGGTCGATGGAGATCTAGATGGTCGATGAAGTGGTTGCGACTCTTGAGATGTTGCTTGGGATACTAAAGAAGACCGAGATTAAGAATATCTAACTTATGACCTTTCAATACTTAAGTCAATAAAATTCTAAAGTGTAATGAAATATCAGACATAAAAAAGAGAGAAAATAATTGTTAGAGTGTTTGCTTGAGGCAAATGCAACTATAAGCTAACTTGACATGTGGTGACATGACTGCTTGTTGAAGTGATAACCTTTGCTGAGGTGACATAATCGCTACCTTAATAGCGGTGAGATAGTATAATCATAGTCTTAATAGTAGTGAGGTAATTCAATTATTCCAAAATGATGATTTTGGTTATTAAAGATATCTAATCGTGGTTGAGGTGACAGGTTTAGAAAACGTCAATCATTGTTCATATCATGATTTCGATTATCGACATGATCTTCGTGTGTCGATTTTAAAAAAGTTAATTTTATTATCTAGCATTAATCATTTTCTTGTTCTATATAGGTATATATTTTTAATAAAATAATAAACTAAGATAAATACATTTATTATTTGAATTATTTCCACACGTGCACTTGCATGCATGCGGAGTTGGCTGAATGGATGAGTTTGTCGAATGGTCCCAAAATTCCCTTTTAAAACACTTTCCCAATTTCCATCCTATCGAGTTCTCTGTCAACGACCTGTGGGGCTCGCTCGCTGGGCGGACATAACGTCACCAGCGGTGTGAGCCCCCACAGATGACCTTTGTCATGGACGAGACAAAAGGTTTTTGGGAGGATGCGTACTCCGTTACATGCATCCGGACTCTTCGTCTAGCCACATCCTTGTCTTCCGGTCTTGACCCACAACTCCATTAGCTGGTCAACGGTACACTGAACCCAGCCCCGGCCACCTGCTCTTGACTTTCTGACCGCCGGGAATCCCCTGTTCAATCATATAAATAATTTTACATAAATACATTTTATGTTGTTGATTAATTGCTTATGAGTCGAACATGATCCAAGTCACGGAAATCAAAGGTTAAAATCAAATTTGGATTTTAGTTCCGCGTAGTCCTTTAACTCCGACAACCGTCGAATACGAGCTGAAGCTCCAAGCTCGACGGCCCTCATTGGTGGAGAAGACAACAACCGGAGGTGGCACCATGCCGGCTCCGCCGCCCTCGGCGATGCAGGAAAACGTTTGGTCGCGCGAGATGCGCGCCAGGAAGCCCGTCCTGCGTCAGCACCGTCGTCACAAGTGCGACGAACTCGCGAGATTATCTGACGATCAGGGAACAGGGGGGAGGGGGGAGGGGGGTGGGAAGGGGGGGGGGGGGGGGGGGCGCCGGGTAGTTTTACGGAAGAG